ATACACATAATAAAAAGGAATCTTAAACAAAAGGAACACTGACCAAAAGCAATGTGGGGAGGAAAGGGTTTATTGGGCTTAATTATACTTCTATATCACAGCTCATTGATGAGGGAGACCAAGCAGAAGCCTGGGGGCAGGAACAGAGGCAGCAACCGAGGAGGAATGTAGTTTACTGGCTTGCTTTCCCTGGCTTGCTCAGCCAGCAGTCCTAAATAACCAGGAACTACCAGCCCAGGAGTGGTATCATCTACAATGGACTGGGCCCTCCCACATCAACCACTGATCCAAACCTGTCCCACACACATGCCCTTAGACCAGTCTGATAGACACAAGTCCTTAGCTTTGTAAGTGTGTTAGCTAGTTTTCTGTTGCTCTGACAAAATACCACGGCCAAAGGGTCCCAGGGAGAAGGCATGGCAGCAGGGACAATTAGCCCATACCTTACATCTTTAAATGCAAACATGAAGCAGAGCAAACCGGAAGTAGGAAGGACTTTTTACTCTCAAAGCTCCCCAGAACTACACTTCCTCCTAAACCTCCCCAAACAGTGTCAGCAACTAGGGACCAAGTGTTCAAATGCCCAAAACCATGGGAGACATTTCTCATTAGAACAACCACAGCAGAAGACTCTGGTTTGTGTTATGTTGACAAAAACTGAATGCACAGAGACCAAGGGCCTGAGGAAAAACCCAAGCAGATAGAAGTGCCTGCCAACAAGCCTGACAGTCCAAGTTTGATGGTAGGAGGGAACCAACTTCATAAAGATGTTCTCTGACCTTCCCACACCTACTGGGGGGCACACGCATGCATACATACACACACACACACACACACACACACACACACACACTAATAAGATTTTTTTTTAATTTTAGGTAGTAGGAGTGCTCCATAACTAAGAGGTAAGATAGCTGAATTGTAGTTTGAAGTGAATGGTAAATAGTCAGTGGCAACTCATCTGCAGAGTCAAGAAAATACTCTAAAGTAAATTTATTCAAGCCCCAGTCAAACCTTCTTAGCCAGGGACCATTACAGGTCACACCTGTAAATGCCTGGACTTGCGAGGCTCAAGCAAAATATTAAGAGTTTTAGGCCAGCATGAACTGCACAATGACCATGTCTCCATGGCATTCTTTTACCTTCCTTGTTGAGAAAATAAAAGCTGGGGAGAACTCTTGGTCGGTAGCCACACAGGCAGACCTGAGTTCAATCCACAGTACCCACATGCTAAGGAGGCGCACACTGGAGAATGCCAGAGCTCAGTGACTAGCCACAGCCAGCCAGGTGGGGAATCCTATCTTAAAAAAAGAAAATAGCCCCTGGGGAATGACACCTAAGACTGATGACCTAAGAGTGGCCTTTGGCCTCTACACATGACCCTCCCACACACAAAAGGGAAAGAACTAACATGAGCACTGTTGCTTTAGAAGACCAAAATTCCTTCACCTTTCTCCTCCTGTCCCTTGAGCTCTTAACTTAAAAGAATCTACAAGTACAGCTTCAAAGCTCGGTTTGGAAAACTAATCTCTTCTATTCCTACTATTTTAAAATTAAAGTCTAATAAAATGTACCTCAGATTCTCAGAACTCTTGACTAAGATTAAGAAAAATAAAGGAGGAGAAGCCTAAGAGATTAGTGTCCAGATTTTAACAAAGCAACCTGCCACACCTGCTGAGCAGTCAATGTTCCAAGTCCACCCTGTATCCAGTATTTGCTGAGCCCCTATCAGGTTCAGGCTCTGCGCTTCAGCTGGAAACAGGGCTGTCTCAGCACCCCAACACTTCCAGAGGGGATGGGGGTGCTCTGTCCTGCAGGACTAAAACCACAAAAGAACCCTGGATACACAACCATTTTATTAAAGCAGCAGACATCAGAGCTGAGTGTTCCCAAGTGGCATGGCACTCAGATAATCTGCACAACAAATGGGTTGCTGAACCGGGTCACAAGCAAGTTGGAAGTGAGTCCAATCTTGGTCATTTTACTCCCCAACAACCTGCTTTTGCTTGCTAATTATTTCCCTGGTCAGGCAGCATGGCACACACCTGCTGTCATCCCAGCACTGGGGAACTGGGGACAGGAGGAACATGAGTTCAAGATCACCCAAGTTCAGGCCAGCCTGAGCTACATAGAAGACCCTGCATCAAAAAGAAAGAGGAAAGAAAAGAGAACAGGAGAAGAAAGGGGAGGGGAAGGAGAGGGGTCGTGGGGGAGCAAAGATAATCCTTCTCAGAGTGTTAGGACTTAAACCTTCCCTCCTGGGACTTTCCAAATCCATTTTGCAAAAGGACCGAAACTTCCAGGCTCTCCAGGAAGTGGTGTTGCTTACATCGGCCTTACCCAGAATCCTCTGTGTTTCCATTCATACACATGCTGTACCTGAATGGTGTTGCAATCACCTGTTTGACCAGCACCCTCCCTCCCAGTCAAGAGCCACCACTAAGGAGTTTAGGGTGCAGTGACAAGAAATAACAGACCCACTCTCTCATGCATCACTCATAAAACTGTGTTATCTGGCTGGGGAGATGGCTCAGTAGGTCAAGGGCTTGGCACACACGCACAAAGACCTGCGTTCGGATTCCCAGAACCACGTAAAAGCTGGGTGAGGAAGTGCACTCCTATGGGGAGAGGGGAGGTGGGATCAGAAGGCTCCCCGGAAGCTTATGGCTTGGCTAGCCTGGCACATACAACAGTACTGAGCAAGAAGAGACCCTATCTCAAATCAACCAAAAGGCTAGGACTATACTGTGACACGCCAAGACTGGGTTAATAAAGTTAACTTTGAATCCGGGGACAGAGCCAGCAACTACCTGATGGGAATTAGCCATAAAGAAGTCAGTAATATAGTTAGGGAAGTCAAGAAGAAGGGAGGGACTTGGAATTCCTGCACTCTCTTCCATCCGGGACTATGAAGAGAAGAGGTGCTGGTTGGGTGTCCAATAAGAAAGGGAAGGTCAGCTAGTCACTCCTCTGCTTCTTTATCTGTAAGTTTTTCACCCCAACATCTGACTCTCCAGTTTTTATTGGAAATAGAACAAGTCAGCAAACAAAACACAACACCTGAGGTTCTCCAACACACACACACACGCGCACTCACACACACACACACACACACACACACACCATGGCATATGCACACTCACATACACATAAACATGCATGTACACAAAAAATCTTTTAAGGAACTGAAGAGATGGCCTAGTAGTTAAGAGCATTAATTGTTCTTGCAGAGAAGCTAAGTTTGGTTCCCAGCATCCATGTGGTGGCTCACAGTTAACGGTCTGTAACTCCAGTTCAGTTCGGGGAGACGGCCTCTCCTGGCCTCCATGGTCACTGCATCCATGCGGTGCACAAACAAGCATGCAGGCAAACGCTCATACACATACAAGACAAATAAATGACTCTTTAAAGGTTAGCAAATAATTTGATTATCCTGGCATTATACATGGGAACCTGAGATTCAAAGACATTACAAAGCTCAGTGAAACAGGCCCCACAGGTAGTTAATTAACATTAGCTTTATCCCAGCGAAACTTCCCCTTCCTAGTACAGTCAGACTCATGAGCAGACTTCCCTCAGGGGAGGGAGGAGCACCTTAGATGAGACCTGTGGTTAAGCAGGAGGCAGGAAGTAATCCTGGATAGGCATCAAAAGACACTGCCCAATGGCACTCACTGCCCCATGGCACTCTCTACCCAATGGTCCTGCAGGGAGGGAAGGGAGGGAGCAAGGCCAACGGGCCAGAGGTGTGCACAAGGTCTGCTACGAACTCACAAAGCACTCTTCCTCCAAACTAAGCTTGCTAAATTCCCTACGGTACTTCTCAGTTTCTCTGGACCAAATGCTTAACATGCACACAGAAGTAGCAGAGCCATGATTCAAACCCAGACAAGGTAACCTGTCTCACAAGCCCTCACAAGCACGAGCGGACTTTACCTGACCTCTCATCGCCAATGCTCTCACCATAGAGCATGGGGTGGCCTGCACACGAGATGCACTCATTAACCTCTGCCAAATGTATACAGACTGAGACAGGATTTCAGCTCATCTTCAAGGTCAGGGGGACCAACAGGTATGTCCAGTGGTAAACGAATTATTACTTAACAAGTGTAAGAGCTCACCATCTTTGTTGAGACTGGGGCTTAAATCTATGTGGAAGGCAGAGCAAAAGGAATCCTGGAAGCACTATTTCCTACATTCAAATCAGCCTCAGGCAACTGAGTCAGTAAAGAGCAGCACTCTTGTTATCTGTGGCCCCTGACAAAGTCAACAGCACTAACAGCAGCCGTGCAAGCTTCCTTTCCTTCCTTCCATCCGTTCAACCCTGATCCAGAGATGCAATCCCTGGAAGGAATGAGGGGGAAGACCAGGAAGGGGCAGGTGAAGAACACCTCTTCAGGACTTCAAGCATCCTGCAGTTTGCATTCAACCATGAATGGTAAAATGGTCCATGTTCACAACGTAAATGGACTGTGGACAGCCACCTCCCTACAGATACCCTTCCCCTCCCACGTTCCCCCTGTTGCACATGAAGAGTCCTAATCTAATCTTCAAAGCCAAAAACTATCCTCTAGTATACCTGTTACCTGTGATCATTACCTATGGGTCAAAGTCACTCCTTGACAACTAAAACTGTTTCTTGACAGGTACCAAGTATACTTCAAAATAGTAATTTGAAAGTAAAATGCTCTACATTCTGACCCCTGAGTCATCAGTGAAGACACCATTTATTCATGAGAGGTCACTCACCACAGTGTCAAAACCTCCTCCCTGCAAAACATGGTAAGACTTCAGTGTCAAAGCTGCAAATGTTTGTAAATGTCCCCACATAAAAGCCTCCCCATCTCTTCTTCCTGTAGCTTGCATGCGTATCGTGTTTGAAACTGAGGGGTCAGGCTTCCAATTCTTCCCAAATAACTTTTTTCCAACCCAATTTTGATCTGCCAAGACAGCTTCACCACCTTCACTCAAGAGCACCTACCTCCTAAGGCAAGGCTTACCTTGTAATTGCTAGAGTTCACCCAAGAGGTAGCGAGTCCATCCACAAGCTTATCTAACATGGTCTGGTCATGTTCAAGGTCAGCAGACTTCTGCTTGTCTGAGAAATAGTCTATGAGTTCCTGGCCAACCTGCAGCCGTTTCCCTACATCCTTCTGCAGCACCTGGGCCAGACAGGACTCCATTCGAGGTTCCATGGTAGAATTCAAATCCAGATCCGGCCAAGGCTAGAGGGCAGTCAGGATGACTCCCTCCCGGTAGCTGTACCGGGAGGTGGCCTCTTTGTTCGCTGAAGGCTACTAAGAGCGTGTGTTTCAAAGATGCAATCCGGGGAATGGCAGCAATGCACCATGTGTGTCTGAAGAGCAGCTGGTAGGATATTAAAAGTCCAATTTAAATAACTAGTAGGCGATAAAGGAGAGAGTGGCGGAGTGATGATCTATGAGTGAGTCTGACATACTTCATAATTCAGCAGTCCATTCTGAAAAGGAAGAAAGAAGAACAGATCAGCCAGAGAGCAGAAAACTCAACTGCTAGGAAACATTAATCAAAGACAAAGCACACATGCTGTAGAAACACCCTTGATCACATGTGGGCTGGGAAGCATGAACACTTGGCAAATGTATCAGAAAAACATAATTATTATTTTTATTAGCAGAATGGTGAAGCCCAGAGGATTTATCCAGTGAGCTATGTGTTTGGTAAGCTGGTACGTTCCAGTTCCCCAGCTTGTAAATGCACAAGTTAAGAAAGCAATCTTCTGCTTCCAGAGGCTTCAGTTTTGCTTCCACCAAAACCCTGCAGCACTCTGAGAGTTGTAATAGGTACTGAGGCTCACTGCCTTATTGTCTATCTCTCAATAAACTCAGTCCTGAGATGGGATGGGCTCCTCTAAATACCCTACCCAAGCTTGCTCACATTAACCAAAGTCAAAGTCAGTGAGCACCTACACTGTCCTTCCTGCTCTGCAGTTTCACAATGGATGGAGCCCCCTTTCCAAACAAAGAAGAGAGGCAAAGGGAAGAAAGGAGATAAGCTGTTAACACAGTATTCTCAGTTGACATCAACTCTACTTGGGACAACTGTTTTGTTATGAAACGAGTTCTCAAAAATCACATTCCGGCACTGTAAACGCATAATGAGGAAAAGGTACTAAAACTGAGTTTGGACTTTTTTCAGTGCTGAGGCACGAACACAGGAACTTGTGCACAGTAGGCAAGTGTTCTACCACTTAGCTGACCCACCTTCAGTCCCATAAAATTGTTTTCGCTAGACAGATTTAAGAGCTAACTAGTTAACTGTAGCCAGCAGAGTAATATGTTTATTAAAATTCTCTCCTACTATTAGTTCCTTTCTTTCTAAACTAGGAAAATGCACAGACAACTCAGCCTTTTTAACATGTAGCATCTCAGAATTGGAAGATGGCTCAGTGGGCAAGAATACTTGCATCACAAGCATGAAGACATGAGTTCAGATCCCAGCAGCCACATAACAAGCTCGACATGGGTCTCACATGCACCTGTATCCCCAGCACTGAGGAAGGTGCAGGAGGATGGACAAAGCTTGTTAGTAGCCAGCCCAGCCAAAACACATGGGCTCCGAGTTCAGGGAGAGTCTCCATCTCAAAGGAGTAAGAAAGAAAGAGATTGAGGAAGACCTCCATGACCTCCTGTGGCCTCTTTGAGCAAAGGCACACACAGGTGTGCATAGCACACACACAAGTCATTTACCATGAGGGTCAGGAAGATGGCTCAGTGGATAGACACCACAAAAACCTGGTGACCTGAATTCAATCCCTGGAACCCATGCAAAGGTAGAAAGAGAAAACTGACTCCACAAAGTTGTCCTCTGACCTCCACAAATGTGTCATGACATGCACAAGCACCCTCATAATATATTTTTAAAATATAAAAATGAAAGCATTCTACGTGGTCCAAAGTCTGTGTTTCTTGCCACTCCACTACCACTACACTGAAAGTTCACAGCACAGGTAGCAAGCACTCTTCATTGTTCAACATCAGCTACAGCAGTGGGCCATGGACTCAGAAGCACTAGTCACCACACAAGCAAACACTCAGGAAGCTCTTAGGGGCTAACATTCCCCCAGAAACGTCACTAAGTACCCTGAAGCTGCCAGTCTGATCTGCTTTCTTATATTCCAAAATGTAGGGCCACAGTCAGAACTAGCTACTCCAGCCACCCTGCCAAGATGAACTGACATGCCCAAAAACTGTGCCAAGAAAAACCTTTTCATCTTTTTAAAAGCCAGGGAAACTGCAAGCTAGAACCTGAGACCACCAGAGTTCATGCAAAAAGATGGTACAAGTACTGCCTCCCAGCCCTCATAAGGGACACAGAACGGTGCTTTTGGCCTAAATCTACCTAAAGAGTCTAACAAAAAAGGTACCTGAGGTTGCCCTCTGGCCTACACCTATTTTGTACCTGCACACATATCCATGAACACACACACACACACACACATACACACACACACACACACACACACACTGTATCAGAGGGGACATGGGAAGGGCTGGAAGGAGAAAAGGGAAGGGGGAGAGTTATGTCATTATAATTTAATTAAAAATAAATTAAAACCACCTGAAAATGTCTCAGGACATATGTAAGAAGACAGGTATGTTATGAAATAGCCAACCCTAGAAGATCAGGTCCAGTGGAATTCACTCAAACAGAGTCAAAAACATCACGCGTCCACTCGTCAGCATCTCCTTCTGTAGTGTTTGTAGCAATCACAGCTTAGCGTGCTCTGAGCAGGATGTGTCCTGTTCTGCTTGCTCTACTCTTCCCCACACAAGCCCCCACACTCACTCAGTGAGCACTACATAGGCCCATGGGAAGACAGGCGTTGTACTATACTGACTGATGACTCTACTGCACAGCCTGCTGACTCAGGGATCTTACTGCCTGAGGAAGAGACAGGCATGCAGCTGCAAGTAGCATCTGAAGAAGACAACACACTCAGGAAGCCAGAAACATTTCAGCTGAGGGACAAAGATCCACTGTACTTTACCTCAATCAGGCTCAGCCCAACCACCCCAGCCCAGCTTCCCTTGTCACCAACCAACACTCCGGTGAGCTAGCTCCCTCCCTATCTCTTCTGGTTTCCTCTATGGCTTCCACGCCCATGGAGATGACTTCAATGCCTCCTTTCTGTCTCCTCAGACTTTTAACCTTCAACCTCAACCTTCCAGGCACCTGCTCCGGGATGAATGATCTCTGCCTTCTATTGGCTCACTCACTACCAGCAGCTTGTAAGTGTCCCTCAAATCACCCATCTTCGGAAGGCGCTCAATGCCTTCCATCAGTGGCACTGGTGGCAGTGAAGCATCTTTAAGCAGTTGTCAAGGCACTAGAGAGCTGGTTCAGCAGCTAGTGTTCAATGCGCTTTCGGGGGACCCAAGTTCAATTCCCATCACCACAAAAATTAAAACCTTTAAAAAGAATCACTTCTTTTTCCTATTTCTCAGAACTCTCTCAAAGATCAAAAGAGAGCCAAGTGCAGACAGCTGCCATGATGGGAGATGAGGGTTTGTAACACTAGTCCCTCTGCTTCTGTGTGTGCTACAGACTATCCCATACTCAAAAAAAGAAAAGGGTTTTAACTTTTGAAAAAGGATTGCAAAGTTTATGCTTTAAAAAAATGAGGGAAATTTTTTAAAAAAGAAAAAAACTGAGGGGCTGGAGAGATAGTTCAGCAGTAAAGAGCACTTACAGATGACCAGGGCTCAGCTCACATGATCCACATGGCAGTTCACAACCATCTGTAACTCCAGCCCCAGGGATCCAACACCCTTTTCTGGTTTGTACGGGCACTGCCTCATGTGGTGCAGACACACGGGCAGGCAAAACCCTTACAAACAACAATTTTTTTTAATGTATGAGAAAAGTATAGTAATAAAAATGAAAACAACACAGGGTATGGAATTATATTAAATCATGTTATATGATAAAGCCTATTGCTTCAAAAAGTATAGAAATATAAAACATTAAAGGTCAGCCCAATTAATAAGATCATGAATGCTTTCTTTCCTAATGAATGATTATCTTTCTTCTTAACATATTTTTTAAGGTTTTATTTAGAGTGTGTACACACACCACGACACGTATGTGGAGAGCAGAGGGCAACTTACAGGAACTCTTTCCAGCATGTGGAGTCTGGGGTTCAAACAGATCAGCAGGCTTGGGGGCAATCACCTTTATCCCCTAAACCATCTTACTTGCCGCATACTTCCATACTTTTTATATTTTTTAAACAGAAAACAATCTCAAATGAAACCCTATTTATTTAATGTTAACCATAGTTTTCCAAAATGGACTATCAACTGAAAACAAAGCCTTTTTTAAAAAAAAGAAACTAAGCTGATTTTTTTTCTTCTTTAAAAAAACATTTAAATGTATACAAAGGGATTAGTGTCAACATCAGCACAGCAATTTGTTACAAAATGAAGGTGCTTAACCCTAGAGAGGAGAGAGTAATAACAACTTAGGTTACAGCTTCTTAAAGCACGGCCTCCATGGAGATGAAATCCTGGCAGAGGACCAGCTTGTTAGGGAGACAAGAAGCATCACAGACAGGGCGTGGCTCTCACACTGGTTCCTTTGGAGAATGGGAATCATCCACTCAGCCTACCACTACTTGACTTCAGTTGCCTCTTACACAGAGCTACATCTACAAGTTCAGCTTCACAATAGGGAAAATAAGATCACCAAATCTCAGCAACTTCTGCATAGGGCTTCCTGGGAACAGGATAACTACATTCTTCCTAAATTCACTAACTCTTCCTAAATTCAGCAGTGTGTATTATACTCACAAACTGTACAACCTTCACCACTATCTTATTAAAAAAACATTTCTGTGCTGCAAATGATATTCTTTATCCTTTAGCAGTCTACCCCACCACCTCTCTCATCAAGCCTTGTATTAAATCATATTCATTCATTCATTCATTCATTCATTCATTGCAAACAGGGGCACAGGTATTCCAGGCTGGCCTCAAACTGGCTGTTCAGTCATGGGTGACCTTGAAGTTTTAATCCTCCAGCATCTGTCTCTAAAATTGTGGGACTGTAGTCATATAATACCACATCCATTTATGCAGTGTGAGGATTCTGCCCAGGACTTTCTGCATGCTAACCAAGCACTCTATCAACTGAATTATGTCCCCAGCTAAAGACTTAATTTTGGCAATTTTCTCTCTCTCTCTCTCTCTCTCTCTCTCTCTCTCTCTCTCTCTCTCTCTCTCTCTCTCTCTCTCTCTCTCTCTCTCTTTTTTTTTGGTTTTATAAGGCATCACTGCACAGCCCAGGCTGGCCTCACACTCACAATCTTTCCACCTTAGCTAGGATTATAAGAATGCTCCACTATGCTTGGCTGTTTGGGGCATTGCATATAAATGAAGACATAAAATATATGGCCTCCATATATGGCCCTTTTACATAGCACACTGTTTCCAAGGTTTA